TGGCTGGGTTCTGGGGTGATCTCCGTTGCAATGGGATTAGCACCGGGCCTTTGATGCTGGGAGAAAACATCAGCCTGCACCTCTGAGATCTTCACCGTCTTGGCATCTTCCCCCCGACCCCGCCTTGCTGTTGTGGCTTTAAAATGGTGGATTGTGTTTGCTTTGAGTATTTGGGTGTCTGTGACATTGTGAGTGAGCGCTGGGGCTGAGCTGGTTAAGAACGAGACTAATTGGAGCGAAAAGAGACCGCTTTGGGGGCGAGAGAGCTGCGCTGAGCCGAGGCTGGAGCGCAAACTTGCAGATGGCAGAGGCATGTGCACTCTTTGGGGGAAGAACCAGCTAAACTGGGGGTTTCACTGTCCCCCCTGCCGTGACTGTGGGGCTGCTGTAACACCCCCACCGCGGTGAGGGTCAGCTCCTTGTCCTGCCATGGGTGATGGAAATGAACCGGTCATTTGGCACAGCTGACAGCTACAAGGGGCCCGTTGTGCTGGCACCTTCTCTCCCTCTGGCTGATCCCATGGCTCTGCCCCATCCCAGCGGATTGCTGTCCAATTCCCCCATCTGGGGAGCCCATGGGTTACAGTGAACAGCCTGAGCTTCCTCTGTCCTGCTCTGCTGCCCTTCTCTGGTCCCTGCAGCCCCCAGAGCAGCGCTGGGACAAGCCTGGCCTGTCTCCCTGCGCCACTTCCACCAGGGAACACTGGGGACATTGCCCAGCTGGGCTTTGGCAGAGCTCAGGGAACATCCCTCTCCAGCCTGGCAGGACACGGGCACTGCTGGCAGCCACTCTCCCGAGGAGAAGACATTTTCATGAAAGAAACACCGTCTGCTGGAGGAAGAGGATGAGAGCTCATCTCACCTCATTTATATTTTAGCTCAGGCTACAGCAGCAGCCTCCAGAGGTAGATGAAAGAGAAAATCCCAGCTCACCCTTGTGGTTAGCTCGGTTTGTATTCCACCCTGCAAATGCCCACTGAGTGTTTAAAGCTGAGGACCTGCTCAGGTGTTTACGGTTGTGCATCCCTGAGCAGTAAATTGTCCCAGGAAATCTTTACTGGGGGACCTGGGTGCCCTGCAGGCCCTGTTATCTTTGGGATAACAGCGATAAGGGCAGAGCAGAAGCAGACCTTGTCCATCATAAATGGCTTTGGGGCCGCAACCCCGAGGTCTGGGGCTGTTTTTTAACACTCAGTGAACAGCTCGTTTGCAGGAGGCAGCTCACAGGATGCAGGGTTGATCTCCCAGCAGAAAATTAACCCTGTCTGTCACAAGCCTGGCTCCCTGGCCTGTGCTGAGCAGATGTCGATCAGACCCTGCGAGGGACGGGGAATCCGAGGCAGGGGATGATAGCAGAGCTCTGCCAAGCCGGGGTGGATCCGTCCCAGCTTCCCAGCCACGCACAGAGCTGCCTCCCAGCCGCTGCCATATTGACAGCAGCAGCGATGCTGAACGCTGGGAGGGCTCCAAGGCTGCACAGAGCAGCTCTGTGTCAGCTCCAATCCTTTCTGCCTCCCTGCTCCACACTCACAGCATCCTCCCTCCATCCCTCCATCCCTCCCTCCCTCCCCAGCTCCTTTCCACCGAGCTGCTCCTGGGCCCGGCAGCGCGTTTCCTCGGAGAACAATTATGAAATTGCAATAAAGTGCTTTAAAAGGGAAATTCTTCCCTTTGATTCCCGCCTGCCCTTCTCAGCCTGGAGCTCCCTGCTCTGCTTGTGCTGTTGGTTTTGTGTCCTACCTGCCCGGAGGAATTCGGGAGGGAGCAGGGAGCATCTGTTCTGCTGCAGCAGCATCCGAGCCCAGGAGCCACAGGCATGGCCAGGAGCCACTTTTGTCATTGACACAGGGGACAATTTAAACAGCCACCGTGCTCCTGAGCTGAGCCACAGACACATCTGCAGATCTCATTTCGTGTCATGTTTTTATTTTTGGACGTATTCTTTCATTTTCAAGGGGAGTTTGACTCCATGGGTGTCTCCCATCTCCTGCCCTGATGTGGAGAACAATTCGAGGTTTAAGATGAATAGATAAATCTACTCCTTAAAAACGTTCTGAGCTTCATCTGTGGGTATTTCCTGATGCTACTTGAGGTTTTTATATTTTTATTTTTTTTAGAAGGGGGTCCAGTTTGCAGAACTAAGATAAGTGTGTGGTTTGTTTTGCAGTTTAGCAAGTGATCTACACCAATCATAATTCCTTCCTTCCAAGGCAGTCACCTTGTGCTGGACCAAGTGTGCTTTCAGACAAGACAGCAGGGCAGCCTGGCACAGTGAGCAGAGTTACAAGTAATTTCCTTCCAGGTTTAATTGCAAACGGTGGTGGTGGAGAACAGCAATCTCTGGAGAGCGATTAATTAATTACTAATCTGGATTCCCTTGGGGTTGGGCCCGTATCGGTGCCACTCTGGATCCTGGATAAATTTTGAGTGACAAAAATGACATTTTATTCCTTTCAGGAGCCCAGCAAAAGCCCAAAGCCCCCCTGGGTTACAGCAGGTTTGTGGCTGAGCCTAAGGCAGGCTTTGCAGCTCACCTGAATTCCCAGAGCCAGGACTCCTGTGGGAAGCACAGCCTCCTGTGATTGGCATTTTGCAGCCACAGAACCTGCACAAAATCCCACAATGGTTTGGATTGGAAAGAAACTTAAAGCTCATGGAGTTCCAACCTCCTGGAGTGGGCAGGGGCACCTTCCTGTGGTTGCTGAGCATCCTCTGGAAGGTTCTCAGAGGCAGCAGGGTCTGATGAAAACACACCAGGGAATGACTTCACCGATGGGGATGAAGCTGCTCAGCACCACAGCAAAGTGAGGAAGTGCTTTCCTTGGCAGGAGGGAAAATCCTCTTGGACAAACAGGTTGTGAAAGCTTGAACGAGGTCCTCAGAGCATGGCACCAGCCAGGAGAGAGGCTGCCAAAGACACAAGAAAAATCTCCAAGTAAAAACAACAGAAGCTGGTGGAGCTTTTTTTATCTGGATGAGGTTTTTTTTGGATAAAAACCATCTGAGTAATGATTGATGGTCAAGACACCTGGAATAGGCAATGAGGCATTGAAGACAAAAAAGGACCCAGGAGAGGGAAATTCATGTGTAGGGAAGAGGCTGGCAGATTCCCTTCTGCCCTTCCACAGTGACAGCCAACTCTCCCAACACTGCACGTGTCCACTGCTTGTGTGTTTGCTGCTGCCAGGTTAGGAGGAAATTGCTTTAGAGTCATTTTTGGAGAGATTTAAATTTTTGGATGAGATTCAAGCCTAATATCAAAATGAGTTATTTTATTAAAAGCATTTAAATAAAAACTGAAGAGTGGTCAGAAGCAGGAGGGCTGTTTTAGAAGGAATTTGCTCTAAACCTACTGCACAGAAGCTTTCTAAAATATTACCCTGCGAAAACCCCGTAATTCTCTTTATCTGCAATTTAATTACATTGCCTGTAGTGCCTGTGTCAGAGCAGTTCACTTATTCTTGTTCTCTATTAACTCACACCTGCCCCAGGAAACTGGAAGGAAAAATGGTTGGCATCCAGAGCCGTTTGTGTGTTATGGAGGATCTCACTGAACTCACCAAAAGGGTCTAATGAGGTACTGGAAAAATAGGAATTGGGGGTCTCCTACTGGCTGTGAGGTGGCAATATCTAAAGCTGGTGTAAAAGCAGAAGGAGAAGTGGGAGTGCTCCCATGATCCAGGGATTTGTCCCATCCAGTGTTTGTGGACCAGAGTTTGATCTGTTTGGGACTGCAGTAAAGTCCCAGAGGATCTGAATAAAGGAGCAGAGTCATCCAGAGCTGTGTGGATTGAAGATTTTAGTGACCTCCTGCAGCCCACAACGCGTGTGTGAGCGGGAGCTGAGGGATGTCCTGGGACTGTTACGGAAACCTTGTCACTTGTGACCCCCTGCAGTGCCCAGAGGGAACCTGGGGGCATGGAAATAAAGCATTAAACCAAAAATGACAAGTTGCAAGTTAAATTTGGCTTGGGTTTTGGGGCAAGGGCTGCAGCTGACTGTTATTTAACTTGGACAAACCAGCCTGTGGTGACAGAGGATGAACCTCAACCTTTGACTGTGGTTTAGAGGAGATTTCGCTGGCCACGGCATTTTTGCACTGCTTGTCTTCTGATAACTGGAGATGTGATTAATCCCAGCCAGGCTGACCTGGGCTTTGCCAGGGGAGGATGAGAACAAGGCAAACATTTCCATGCCACGCCAGGGGTCCGAGCTGCAGGAGAGCCGGGGTCTTTGCTGCAGTGCCGCTAATCCCTGTGTTTTTCTAGGAGGTTTGCAGGGCTCTGCCTCCCCCCAGGGATGGTGGCTGGTGATAATGTGCTATCTCCAGGCATATTTCCTGCTTATAGCACCAGGATGCCAGGGCCAGCAGTGTTTTAGCAGAGAGGAAGGTGACTAAAAGTTGGGAAAAGGCAATGACTTGTTAAACTGCAGAGGACTTTTTGGATTATTACAATTTTTTGTTTGTTTTAGTCAATCAGTTTTGTCAGGATGAAAAAAAGCGATGGAGATCCCCCAGCTTGAGCTCTCAGTGAGCTTGTGACCCCCCATCAGTGCCCGTGTTGTCACTGCTGGCTGTGCTGGGGGGCTGTGGGTGCCATGGGTGAGGTTTTTACCATCACCGTGGTGCCCTGGGCATCCCAAACATGCTCTCTGGAGCATGGAGGTGGGTGCAGGAGAAAAAAAGGGGGATTGGAGCCCACAGATTGGGCTGAGGGCACCGAGGCAGCTTGCAGGGAGGCACAACCCCAGACAGGGTCTGCCACACCGCTGGCTGGATTCTCGCCGTGCCCAGCAATAAGATCCTCCTTTGCTTTGTGCCAAAACCTCCCTCGGCCCTGCTGACACCGGGGCTCTTTGATGAAACTCTCCCGTCCCTCCTGTCTGTGGCAACCCCTGGAGACGATCTGAGAGCAGCAACCTTCCCCAAAGCTCCGGGGAGCCTCTGAGAGCGAGGCGGGCGGGTGCTTTAGTCGCAGGCATCCCCCCCTCTCCGCCCCCAGATGCTCCCCGGCAGCCTTTGGCATCCTCCGCCCGTGCGCCGCGGTCCCCCGTGCCCTCGGGGGGAGAAGCTGGGCTTCAGCTGCCAGGTGGGTGAGGCGGGGATGCTCTGGGATGCTCTGGGATGCGCTGGGATGCGCTGGGATGCGCTGGGATGCGCTGGGATGCGCTGGGATGTGCTGGGATGCGCTGGGATGTGCTGGGATATACTGGGATGCTCTGGGATGCTCTGGGATGCGCTGGGATGCGCTGGGATATATTGGGATGCTCTGGGATGCGCTGGGCTCCTAAGCAGAGCAGGCGCTGAGCGCTCGGAGCCGGCTGCGCAGCCAGGCTGGGGCTGATGCCAGAGAGGCTCTGAGCTGCTGCTGCTGCTGCTGCCGCTGCCCGGGGAGAGCTGGGGAGGGGAGGGGAGGGGAGGCGAGGTGTGACTGTCACCCCGAGCAGGGGGCTGTCTCTGAAGGAGCCCGCTCTGCTCTCTCCCCAGAGCCTCTCTGACCGCGCTGTCGGCACAGAAACACCGGCAGAGAGGACGGGTCAAAGGCAGTGAGTATCTTTTTCTCGGTGTCTGTCTGTCTGCAGTGCCTCTGTGCTCGGCTTTCTCTGCGTGTGAATGGATGGTTTTAATCCCGTGAAGCCCCTGAGAGAGCTCATGGTTTGCTGTTCCGTTTATTTGTTCGTTTGGTTTTTAACCTTTGTGCTGCTGTTTTTCTCTGGTATTGGGATGGCTTCTTTATCTTTGCTCAGGTGGTTTGATAAGCTGAATGTCCTAATCACACCTCTCCCTTGCTGTCTCTCAAGGAGAAACCCCCAAAACACATCCATGACGAGGCTGGTAATTCTCCTTGAGAGGGTTCCTTCCACAGGAGGGGGAGGCAGGACGAAGGACGCAGCAGAGGAGGCAAAACCCCTCTCCCAGACCTTTATTGCAATTTACCAGCCACCACAGATCACATTTTAAAGTCACGGCTGCCTGGGTTTATTTGCAAACAGAGGGAACATCCGTGGCTATGGCAGCCGTGGGATGGCTGGTCCCAGCACCCCTGGAGTCGGACGGACTTTGGGATCTCAGGGAAGTTGGGTGCAGCTCAGAGGAGCAGGTGGTTGCTGTGGGGGCTGAGTGGGTGGGAGTGGGGGTGAGCAGAAGGCTCTTTCATAACAGCCCCCCAAAATTCAGGCTGCTGGAGGAGACTGCAGGGGAGAGGGCAGATGGCTCCGCTTCCAGCTCGGAGCAGCGGTGGGAAGGAGAAGCTGGAGGTGCTGGACTCTAGGAAGTCATGTGCTGCGGCCCCACATGAGGGTGAGGCTGTTAATGAGGAAATTTAAAGGGGCTTAAGGAATTACAGGGATTGATTTCAGTCAGAGCACAGCGAAGCAGCCGGTCGGGGTGAGGATTAAGGAAATGCACTCACTGGCAATGCAGAGCAATCCCGCTTCCATTAATTTAGTGGGGAAGAGGCTTTGTGCGTTTTTAATGTAATCAGCTTTTAAGAGGGATGTTGCATTGGGCAGCCCAAGCTCAGGGGTCTCCCCAGGCCCAGCAGAGCAGGGTCCTGGCTCCTTGCACGCCCTCTCAGCTCTCATCAGCTCCTTGGGCTCCTCCTCGGTTGTTCCCAGTGACAACATGACATGGAGGGTACCTGGAGCTTGGCAAATCAGAAACCTCTGCTCGTTGTAGAGCCCTGTTCTCTGTCCCCTGCCTCTCCTGCCTGGTGGATCTCACCTTCACTCTCTGTTGCTGTGAGAGTTGTCAACCAGCTGCTCCCTGGCAAGGCTCACGAGGACCCTGCCATCTCCTTCCCTCCTTCCCTCCTTCCCTCCTTTCCTCCTTCCCTCTCCTTTTTCATCCTGTGCATCTCCTCGGTGCCTCCCCACAGCTCCCACCACCCCAGACGAGCCCTTGCTTGCTTGGAGTTATTTTTGTGTGGCTGCTTGAGCCTGTGCAGGTGAGAGGAGCGGCGCCTGCGGATGAGTGAAGTCCTCCTGTTGTTCTGTTTGCAGTGCCAGCTTTTCCATGATGCCTGGCCAGTCACATCAGCCATGACCCGGAGGGACAGGCACAAGAGGTAGTTTGGTCTTCTTAGCGAGCTCAGCCCGGAGCTCTGCCCCCTGAGGAGAGACCTCTGGATGTGTTGAAGGATGAGTGGGATAATTCCAACTCCTGCTGCTCCCTGGTGAGCTGGGACACCAAACTCGAACCGTTTTAGACCTGAAGTTGGACTTTACCTGCAGTCCTGCTCTTGGAAGGAAATGCTGTCTCTCCTCTGTGACCACCCCTCAACTCTCAACGTCTTCCACTGAGCAATTGACTTTCCACGCTACGAGGCAAGGATCAAATGGGTTGAGGACAACTGACCCTTCTTGGCTGTGGCAAAGAGGATTCTTTGGTGCATTTTTAAGTGCCAGGACATGAAACAGTAAATCCCTTCTTCCTGTGCTCCTGCCTCCTACAAGCCAGCCCTGAGTGCGGTCCAAGCCAGACAGTTAAAGGGTTAACCATAGCTGGATGCCTGAATGGCTGCCTTACTGATCCCACGGAGGTAACTGGAAAGACACAGTGCATCCCTCACCCCTGCCCATCCTGTCACTGTCTACCTTGTCCAGCAAGCCTTTCTGCTCACTGCAGGGTCCCCTCTTCCTCCCTGCCCTCCCCTTGCCTCTCCACCTCCTGCAAAATTTCTTTCCCCTCCCCACCCTCTCTCTCTGTCCTGTGTCCTGTCTTGGAGGTCCTGGCTGAGAGAAATGTGTTCCATGAGGAGCAGCTCCCTGCTCTGCCCCCCACCCGCTCTCATTCCCTGAACCTCAGGCATCACGGGGGAACCTGAGCAGCGCTGCCAGAGCAAGGAGCAGAAAGGTGGGGGGTAGGAGGCATCTGGACAGGTACCAGCAGGATCCTGTAGCGGGCTTGGTGTCCCTTGAAGCACATCTGGGAACGTGGCACTCCCTGTGCTCTCACCTGGAGTTTGTGGAGCATCCCGGGCCCACGGCTGTGGGGCCGTAGTTGGAGGCTGTGCAACAATTCCTGTGACTGAGGAGTTCCTGGCTTTTGTGCCTGGTAAACGCTGCGAGCTGCCTGTGCTGCACCAGGGAGACACTCGGTGCATTTAATTAACATTTAATTTGCTTTAAGATTACATTAAAATGTGCAATAATAGAAGCTCTCCGAAGGGCGGGAGGAGAAGGGGGAAACAGGCGCTCTACAGATTGGCTCAGGCACTGGTGCTGAAGTGTTCTGCAAGAATTACAGATGGAAGGGGGGAAAAAATGCTGTACTTCTGCAGCCACAGAAAGTCTTTGGCATCTGTTTGGCAGCAGGGCTTGGGCTTTCAGCAGCTCCAAAGTAGGTCCAGCAGCTGAGAAGTGGAGAGTGGGTCGCTAAATGCTCCTCCCATGGTCTGGAGGAGAGAATGGCCCAGTTGGACATCCAGGGAATCTCAGAGACAGAGCCTGTGCGAAGGCATGAAGCAGCCCCTGGATGTTTTTGGGGAGGGGGTGGTGCCAGTCCCGTGCCATGCATGTGTGTGTTCCATTCCCCTGTGCCTCGGTGTCCCTGCCCATCCCGGTTATGTAATGAAGGATGCTGCGGCTGCTGTCCCGGGAAGGGGCTGGCCAAGGACACCAGGGGCTGGCACAGGACAGAAGGCTCTGGGGCTGGGCTGAAATTTAGAGGAAAAAAAGCAATAAAGCCATTTTCTGCCTGGGTAAGCGTGTCAGGAAACAGGCAGTTTGATCCTGCTTATGTAATCCTGAGTCTAAAGAGGCCGCTTGGGATCGATCCTGGCCGGGAACTCACGGTGCTGCAGCACAGCCTCACCTTGCAGGTGCCTTACTACCCCTCTGCTTCCTCCAGCCCTCTCCTGCCCTCTACCTCTGGTATTTGTGTTTCTGGTGCTGCTGGACTGATTTCTTGTGCTGCTGCCCATTGCTCTCCTCCCACACCCGAGCAGAGCAGGACTTTCCAAGGAACCATCCCAAAGCACAGCAGCCTTTCAAAGCCTTTCTGCCAGCCAAGGCAGCTGAATGCTTGGTGTGAGTGAGCCTTCAGCTGCTCTGCTGCTGTGCTCACCCTTAACACCTGCCTGGAGATGTCTCAGGGTCCCTCTCACTCAGGAGGGAACCAAGGACACAGATCTGCAACAGAGCCACTGAGGTTTTTTGTTTTGTTTTGTTTTGGGTTTGTTCTTTTTCTTTTGCCAAGCTGGCTAGACTTATAATCATCCTCTTCTTTGGTTTTCCCCTGCTAACACCCCTGCTTCCCCACCTTGACCACAGGAACAGAGGGATGAGGACTCGCCTGGGCTGCCTGTCTCACAAATCAGACTCATATAATGATTTCACAGCTATTCTTCCGGACAAGCCCAACCGGGCTTTGAAGTGAGTATAGCTGCAGCATCCCACCCCAACCTCACTCCTGCCCTTCCCTTCCCCACCCACCACCCTTCCCTCTGGTATTGTCTTCATTTTGTTGTATTTTGTACGAGCTGTGGCCGCTTCCACGAGGAAAACAAAGCGGCACTGAGCCAGCAGGAGCAGCCTCAGGAAATGCCTGGATCTCTGACACCAGCTCTGCCGTGGGACAGAACATGCTCACAGTCCCCACTGCTGCGTGTGGGACATGTCTGCACCTAGTTGGGGATGTAATTTACACCTCTGTCATCACAAATCAAAGCCTGAGCAGTTGGCTTGGTGTAAGTGGTGACCAGAAAGTTCAGATCATCTTCAGCTCAGCCTTGTATTTAACACTGCCAAAATTTGGGTGATGGTTTGCACAATGCTTGAGGGAGATGCTTCAAACCCTCCAGAGTCCTGATTTGAGAGGTGTGGGATGGGATTCCTCTGATCACGAGTCCCTGCTTGCACCTGAGCTAAGATCTGTCCTTCCCCTGAAAGGCAAGCGAGAGAAACAAACACTTCTGCAGGGCTGAGTTTCATTTCGCCTGACTTTTGGCTTTTACAATGTAAATGTCTGCATCTGAGCTTGTTCCCTGGGCCTCTGCTTAGAGTCAGTGAGGAAAAATTGGTCCCTTTTTTGGGCACGATTCATCTGCCTTATTTTACCTGCCCACCTAGGGATGTGAGATGAGCAGAGATGAGTCCCTGCAGGTCCCTTGGTATCTCCTCACTGATTCTAAAGGAAGCCCAGGGTTACTTGGCTCAGTTCTACTCTCTAGAGCTCCAAAATCAGGTGAGGATAATTCCAGCCTTCCTCGGTGTCCTCATCAAACAGCTCCAGAGGGCGTGAGCAGCCGTGGGTTGTCCGTAACTTGCCCCTTCCTTTCCTTACAGAAGACTGTCAACAGAAGAAGCGACGAGATGGGCAGAATCTTTTGATGTCCTTTTGTCCCATAAATGTGAGTAGAGATCAAATTCTACCTTTTTTCCCCCTCTTCTGCCCTTAACCCCTGTCCAGGGGCACGGTCCCCCAGAGCTACTCACTCCCCAGCAGTCACCATCCTTTACAGGCAGGAAAAAAAAAAAGAATTTTGTGTGTTCCCTTCATGTCTTTGCTCCTGACCACAAGGAAAACCCTAAAGCCATCAGCCCAAGGTGCTGCTTTTTCCAACTCAGTGCCTTTGACCAGCTTGCCCTGTCACAGAGGAATCACCTGTGGTCCCCCTGAGCAGAGCCTGACTTGCAATTATCACAGCAAACCCCAAAATTTCACATCCAGAGACCTTCTGCCAACCTATAATCAGCACCTCCCCGCTCTGTTCAATCCTAGAAGTTTTCTGTTCAGCAAATATTGCTCTGCTTCACCAGCGTTTTCACACTGAGAAATTATAAACAATGCAAAGTTCCCAGTATGGGTTCATTCATGGGCTTCTACTGGAGAACAAAACCCAAACGAGTCGAGGCTGGGGAAAAGTCAACGTGGGTGCTGAGATGTTTTATGGCAATAAGGAGATGTCTGGTTTGCTTAAAGACTCAGGTTTTCCTCACATTTCAAAATGTAAATGTAGAATTATATTATTAAGCAAAGGGTAATTTTGCTGGGTTTCTACTGAGATGACAGCAGTTTTGGCAGGGAATTAAGTGACAACTTTAAACAGGCTGGCTGACCAAGGCAGGAAAATCAGGATGTAATTTTAGCAGCAGTATCTAGTTGAGATCATTGCTCTTGCAGCCAATAGGGGAAAAAAAAATATATGGTGTAGCTGGGTATGGCTAAAAAGGAACATTTCTTTCGTGGAAATTCAGAGCAAGAAGGGGAAAATGCACCAAGGAGATTGCAGGGTACCTGGGGGATGGAGAGAGGGGAGGGCAGGATATTCACATCCCTGTTATCATCCAGAACTCAAACCCATTTCTTCCTCACTGGTGTAAAAGTAGAAATTTTCTTTATTAGGCTGCAGAAGAATCTCTTGGATTACAAACCCCAGTGAATTTACCCACCTATGTCCTGATGTCATTCAAATTCTTCTCTCTTCAGCTGGCTGCTGCAAAAATGCTAAATCAAACCTGAGTTCAATTATTTCGTCCAGCAGCCTCCACAAGGGTGTCTGGTTTTATTAATAAATTAGCCTTAGAGAGTGATAAATGAATTATTGAGATCTTTCCCATCTCTTAGAATGGAAAGTAATTCTGATAACTCTCTGGCACTAATGAAAAATATTCAGTTTCTAATGAAAAATATTCAGTTCCTAATAGCAACAGAAGGTGATCTTTAAAATTTAAATTAATCTTTTTTTATCGGCAGTCACGGTGACATTGCCTGGTGATTGGTGACAAAAAAAAATAATTGTTGTTTAATAAACTACTTTCTAAAGGAATATTTTATAACTGCTCTGCACCTGAAGTTTCTGGAATTGCCAGCCTGGCAGTCAAGGGTTATAATGATGCAAATACAAGAAGTTCTTTTGAGACAGAATTGTTATTTTAGTTACACTGGTTTAAAGGAGAGAAGAGCACGTACTCCTAGAATTAATTCTATTGTACGAGTTGCATTTTTGCTGTTAGGGATGTGCTGATGTTAGACAGGCAAGGGAGCCTTATGCCTTAACTGGCCAAAATCTGGGAGTAAATAAAGCTGTGCCTGGCCTGCTGGCATCTGTCTGTAGGGAAGCTGCCAGCAAAAATTCTGCTTTTAGTGCCAAGAGCAGGACAGAAATGTCCCAGCTGAATTTCCCTGTGGCTGCTCAGGTGAACAGCATTAGCCAGGGAAAATCAGAATTCATGCCTGAGGGCGTGGGCTTGGGGCAATTCTCCCCAGCTGACAGCATCAGCAGGTAGAGCACTTCTGCTTGACACTTGTCTTCACTAGATGGACAGTTCATTTATTTTGGAAAGGGGATTGTGACTTTGGGGGGGTTGTTCTGCTGCAGTCAGATGGTTTTGGTCCCTTCCAGCCAAGCTGTTCTCCAGGGAAAATAAACCCCAAAGTGCTGGAGCAGGATTCAGGAACTGGGTGGAGCAGCTGAGAGTGGGGCAGACCTTGTGGGCAATATTGCAAGGGGTTGGACAAGTGGCAAAATTGCTCCAAGGAACAAGAATGGGGATCAGAGCACCCTGAGAGGATCTCCAAAGTGCCCAGCTGAGCAGGCTGCCCTTGTGCACAGAGGAGGCTCAAAGGGCTCCAGCACTTCCAAGTGAAATGGGAAAACCACTTCTTCCCCTTCCTATTCTCATGATTCTCCAAAAGGTTTCTGGATGGAAGTGACCTGAGGAGGTGCCATGGGTTACACAGATTCCATGGAGAGCCTCGTTGTGCCAGGCTGGCTGGGGATTTGAGCCACCTGCTCTAGTGGGAGGTGTCCCTGCCCATGGCACAGGGGTTGGAATGGGATGAATTTGAAGGTCCCTCCCAGCCCAAACCATTCTATGATCACCTTTACCTTCAAGTGTGATGGCCCTGGGGATCTCCCCCTGATCTCCCCTCACCTTTCTGATGAATGAATGACAGTGCAGGTCATGTTTGATGAGAGGAGGACTGAAATCCCTTGGGATTTGAAACAATTTTGTTTATGAGTGACCCTCTGCATAGGGTGGTCTGGTTTGGATTAATTCCCTGAGCCATTCAAAGGGTAATTTGACTTGACTGTTAACAAGAGATTGTGAGTAGGAGATGCAGGAGGGCTCTCCCCACCTGGCTTTTGTGCTGGCCCTCTCCCAGGACCCAACTCCCTCATCCCTCCTGGAGTGAGCAGTGCTGAGCAGCAGGATTCAGCAGCTCTGGATGGATAGGTCAGTGCAATGATATCCTAATTGTTTTTGCTAATGGGTGAAGGAAATCAGCTGAGAAACCCCCGGGGTCAGGCAGACAATCCCTATTTTACATCAGGAGCCCTGAGCTCACTGCCAGACACATTCCCTGGGGTCAGGGCTTCTGAGCAAGCAACAGGAGAGGGGAGCCTGATGCTGCTCTTGTCAGGGAATTGAGAGAGGAACAGGCAGATTGTGTGCAGCCTTCCCCTGGGTGCCCAGGGAGAAAAAACAGCGTTTTTAACACGCTGGATTTTGGCATCTTTTCCCATTTTGTGCCGGGGAAGCGAGCTCAGCACAGCCCCCAGAGCGTGAGTGCATGCCTGTGAGTAACTGAGGAGTAATCCCCTCGCTGTGCCCGTGCCCAGGAGGCACAGGCTGGCCAGCCAGATGAGGATTTCTTTTGACAGGCTGCTGGAGGGAAATACAAGCAGCAGCATGTCTCATTCTGTGTCCCTCACGGGGCTGGACACATGGCTTTTCCTTCATCCAGCACCCAGCAGGACAGTCTGTCCTCAACCCTTGGCCACTTCTCAACAAAGCACCCAGCACCAAAACCCTTCCTGCTGAATTCCCACTTTTATCTCAAGGGAGATTTTTCTCGAGATTTTTTTTGAAATCTGGAGGACAGGGTGATTTTTCTCCAGATTTTTTGTGATCTCTGTGCTCTTCCGCCCAAACTTTATTGTTGTTCTCCTCCTTCTGTTGTCTACACATTCCTTCACTTCCTACACAGCACAGGAATATCCCAACCTACTCCCAGCTCTTTCTAAGCCAGAACAGCATTAGCATTGTGCTGTTGACAGGCAGCTGAGATTAAGGGAAGCACAGCTCAGCAGCAGTGAGAGCACCTTTGTGTTCTGTGCAGAGCTATCTTGACCTTGTCCCTCCAGCCCTGGACCCAGCACGTTCCACAGAGCCAATCCATCCATCCACCAGCCATGGGGACTCCACCTTTACTCCCTGCATGAAGCCTGCTTGCTGAGGGGGTGAAACACATGCATTAAATAAATGATTGTTGGTTGCTTTCTTGCTCAGGCTTGGTTATCAAACTGCCTGGATGCTTTAGGCCACTAATCTGGGCTCTTCCTCATGATGATGAAGCTTAGTTAAGACCTGCCTCGTGTTTTCTGCTCCCCACTTCAGTCTCTTCTTGCTGGAAAGGATCCACTTTCCATCTCCTGAACGGGATTTTGAGAGTCCCTGTGCTCACAGGGTTGTTGAACTGCCTGGCCCTGCCCACTCATAAA